TGAAGACATGAATGTGCTGGCCCTTGTGTGACACGGTTTGTCTTTTGGTTCAGGACAGCGCGTTACATCGCGTTCATTTAACCGGTTTCCATTTCTTTGCTGACAGTTGGTAATCCATTGGCCATCTTCTAGAGAACATCAGTTCTTCTCTGAGAAATGTCTGTGTGCCAAGTCCACCTGGAAATCTCCATTCAGAGGGCTGTAGGGCAGAGTTGCTAGTTGATTAAAAAAAAGAATTCGGGGGGGAAAGTGGAATGCGCTCATCCCTGTAATTAGAGCTGACGTGACACTAAACCCTCGTTCACACCTGAACGTTTTGTAGCTCGTTCTACGCTCAACAAAACGCTCAAATATAAATCCCATTGTATTCAATGGTCTCGTTCACACCTTGGCGTATTTCTGCCCGTCCCTAACGCGCTACAGAACGGCCCACGCCTGAAAAGGTACATGTAGTACTTTGGGCTGTTTGTTGCGTGTTTCCATTGGAATACACCCAAGTAGCCTTCGGAAACGCGTGACGGTCGCGTGACTTTACTGTGAATCGCGGTTTAAAAAAACCGCGCGACAGATGCACATATGCAATATGCCTAGGTGTGAACGAGACCTGAAGCGCTCTTCTATTGATTTGAGAACTGAACATTCACATACCGCCAATCGCTCAGTTCCTGATAATCTCCCTGCATAGAGCGGTGACTTGGTCACTGCTCCCCACAGGGATGGATGGGGTGGGTGGAGCCAGCTGTCAATCAGGCAGCAGGGGGTGGATCTTGTCAATGTTGGAATCTTTCCTGTCTGCAGTGTGATGTGCTGTCAGCATCTAGATTTGGGTGACAGGAGGACATTAGTATATGACCTCCTGTGACCCTGAAGAAAACTAAGGCCAAAAAGTTAGTCATGGTTTTCTTTTAAAATAGGTGAAGGGAATAGGAGCATGAAACATAAAGGCCTCACAATACAGCTGCATGGGGCAGCTCCTTGGAAGGAAGGACAGGTGCTGTGTGTGATTAGTCCTCTGGGGGTATGCTGCCCTATGCTCACCTGCCCGGCATGTCTGTACTTGTACACTGATGGGATGGATCCTGTCTGTGGCTGAGCCAGGAAACGCACCTGTACAGACAGGGGCTGCGTACTAATCACATGCAGCACCTGTGCTTCCCTGCATGCATGCAAATGCACTGAAAGCCCATTTTGAACTTACATTTTTTTATTTTGTTTTTACCAAAACATGTCCTGGAATGCAGCAAAAATGCAGCACAACGCACTGCAGAAACTCATGCAGCTCTGCATTTGGTGTGACCAAGGCCTTAGAATGGGGGCAGATGGTTGTTGCCTCATTGTGTACATTCCAGAGTCTACAGCTGAGTAAAGCAACAGCTGTCCCCTCCAGCATGGGGGCGAGTAAGCTCAGACATGGACACAGTCATGAAATGTTTGGCTGGAGGCTGTGCTTTATTTATAGGTCACTTCTAATGGGGGTATTTCTATACTGCGCACTCATTTTAGGGTGCAGTAAAATCGGGCTAAACAGGTTTAGATTAGGACTGGAGTCTGCAGACCTGAAGGTAGAGTTCAGCTGTGAGATCTGCTTTTTACAGTATAGTGGTCATGAGAGAGACAGGTTGGTAATGTTGACGGCCCCATAAACCTTACATTTATCTGTGGTCAGATGGAAAAGGTGCAACAGATTCCTCCATCTACATTAAACTGTGTGTATGGAGTAATCTCCACCTGGGCCAATCTGTTGCACCTTTTTCCATCTGACCACAGAAAATCTGCAGGTAATTGTAAGGTGTGTGGGCACCTTTAAGAAGGCAAATTGCCTGTCTGATGCTGTAACCACATCTGTTCAGACACTGACCCAGGAAACAGACCAATTAGCCAGAACCTGACCATCCACCTAATATTGGAGTTCCACCAAAACATCAAGGCACAAACTCCACTAGATGTGAAGGGGTGCTCTGGTATCTAGACCTGAGCAGGTCCTGTCACTCTCAATGTGCGCCCTCCATGGATCTGACCTGTTTTCCAACATCCCACAGATACTCAGTTGGATTGACATCTGGAGAATTTGGTGGCCAGGTCAACACCTCAAACTCATTGAGGGGAATTTATCTGAATGAGCAGACAAAATCTGGTGCAGTTGCCCACAGCAACCAACCGGCTTCTAAAACTGAAGAGAGAAGCTGATTGCCATGCACAGCTGCTCCAGTGTTGATGCCCTCACGGTGTCTGCAAAACGTTCTCGAAGCATATTGCAGTGAGGTTGGGCACATTGTGCTGAAAGAGGTCACGGCCATCAGTGGATAGCATTACCTGGAAGGGCTGCATTTGGTCGGCATCAATGTTTTGGTAAGTGGTACGTGTCAAAGTAACAGCCACATGAAGGTTTCCCAGCAGAACATCGCCCAAGGCATCACATTGCTTCTGCTGGCTTGCTTTCTGCTTTGCTTCACAAGTGGCCATCCACATGATGTAAAAGAAAATGCAATGCCTAAGACCAGGCCACCTTCCAGAGCCCATTGTAGGCACTTTGTGTCAAAGACAGGTGAGCATGGGCACCCTGACCGGTCTGGCTACATGGCCCACCTGCGATGCAGTGTTTGGACACCTTTTATCTGAACCAGCATTAACATTTTTAGCAATTGGCGCTATAGTAGCTCTTCTATTGGGCCTGGACTATATGGGTGAGCCTTTGATCCCCATGTGCATCAATGAGCCTTGGCTGCCCATGACACTCACCAGTTTTCCTTCCTTGGGACCACTTTTGGTCGGTCCTGACCACTGCAGCCAAGAGTTTTGGAGTTGCTCTTACATAGTTAGGTTGAAAAGACGCAAATCCATCGAGTCCAACCTATAGAGGAAGAAAAGCCTAAACAGAACACTGCCCACAATTACCCAATGTTCTGACCCAGTTGTCTAGACCTCACAACTTGGCTCTTGTCAAAGTCACTCACGATCCTTACAATTGCCCATTTTTCTGTTTTGTTTTTTTAAATTTATTTAAAGAGGTATTTTTCATTTACAAAACGGATGTCCAAATATGCATCACATACATGCTGACAAGTCAATCTATACATCAAGTATGGACAGATGGGGGAGATAGCAGTGGGTAGCAACAACTATGCAGCAAGGGGTAAAGCCTGTGTCGAGAGCCCATCCCAAGAATTGCCATCCAGTGTGAGTATGTGAGGCAACTGCAGTCGGTCTCCGCAGTAGGCGGAGGTCCTAAGCAGCTACCTGTATAGGAATGTGGGGGCCGGGTCACGGCACTAAAGCAGGGGTCCGCAGCGGGGTTTAGCTATGGGTATGGAGGGGAGGCAAATAGGGTGGAGGGAAGGAGAAAGTACGAAGAAAGTCTAGAGGGGGTACAATGGGGGGGGAGGGGGGGGGCAGAAGAGGGTTCGGGCCATTTTTCTGCTTTTAACATCAACTTCAGGGACAAAATGTTCACTTGCTGCTGAATATTCCCCTCCCACTTCCAGGTGTCATTGGAATGACCTCTTTTTATTGACGTTTCATGCAACAATACACTTATTGCAACGACACTTGTTCTGCCTGATGAAGGGGATCCTGTGTGACCCCGAAACGTTGCAATAAGTGTACTGTTGCATGAAACGTCAATAAAAAAGACGTTATTCTACCTTGGAGTGCCGGTGTCCATAATGTCTTATACTGTTCTGACGGTGGCCATTCGTCGACTACTGATGATCCCAACCTATTACTATGGATCAGCGGTAAGGAGTGCAATGGGTACATGGACTGTAATTGTAATCCCCCCCCCCCCCACACTTCAAGGTAGGTGCCGTTGTAATATCACCCCCTCTTTACATGTGCCATTGTAATATCCCCCCACTTGCCATTGTAAACAGATCATCAATGTTATTCAGTTCACCTGTCTGGTCAGAATGATATGACTGATCAGTGTATGTATACAATGACTTCTGGCCTTCTCCAACTTTCCTAATTGGTATACTTGTCCAGAGTCAGCCACTCAAGCTATTAAAGCTGTTGTCTCAGCTGAAGATCCTTGGGTGAAAACTGGCCATACACCTATAGATTTTCTATGGTCAGATGGAAAAAGTGCAACAGATGCCTCTTGCTAGTCGGCCCCGCTGGCTCTCAAATTACCTGAACAATGCCGACATCCAATCAGATGGTTCAGGTAGTTTGAGAGCCAGCGGGGCTGACTAGCAACTTACTGAAGCTTGGCCCAGCGGGAGATTCCCCCATACACACAATTAGCGTAGATGGAGGAATCTGTGGCACTTTTTCCATCAGACCGTAGAAAGTCTGCAGATAATCTATAGGTGTACGGCCAGCTTTAGCCCTCGTTCACACCTGAGCGTTTTGTAGCGCGTTCTATGCTCGACGAACGCTCAAAAATATAAATCCCATTGTATTCAATGGTCTCGTTCCCACCTTGGCGTATTTCCGCCCGTCCCTAACGCGCTACAAAACGGCCCACGCCTGAAAAGGTACAGGTACTACTTTGGGCCGTTTTGTTGCGCAATTCCATTGGGATACAGCCAAGTAGCCTTCGGAAATGCGCGTTTGTCGTGCGACTTTTTTTACCGCGAATTGCGGTTAAAAAAACGTGCGACAGATGCGCATATGCAATACGCCTAGGTGTGAACGAGACCTTAGGCCTCATTCAGATGCAGCATTCACTGTTTTGGACACATACAGACTGGACAATTTGCTGAAGTCAGAATCGTAGCCCCTGGATGCAAACTGTCTGCGTTCAGGGATGCTCAGGGGCCCCAATCACATCTAACTGCTGAAATGAGTGGTTACAGACTAACAGCGGCGGCACCGGCCATTGATTTGTACAGGATACAAATCTGCCTGTGGCTGTTTGCACACATATGCATGCGGCTAGTTCCTCCAGTGGTGAGAATTATCAATTTGAACAAGGCCTGATGTCTTTAAAAAATAAAAAAAAAGATGGAACCAGCACAAATTTTGTATCAAATACATTTTGAGAATCATTTATTTCTGCCGGTCTCCAGCACATCTCACATTCTTGCACTTGGTTTGAATTATAAAATGTTCTTCAGTAAAAAGTGTACAAAAATACAAAATAAAAATATCACAGTCTGGTCCCAGGCCCGGCACAACTACAAATCTGTATGTTCAGGTTCCCTCGTGGGAGCTTCTTGTGTCTTGTCTTCCCGCTGCCTGGAATCCTCATATCTGATACTGGCAAAGGCGACTTCGTCCGCCAACTGGTCCAGTGGTGGCCGGCCCACCATGAGATTTCGCATAGAGATGGCCGTCATCAGGAAGCTGAGCCAAGCAACAAAAATAGATGAGGAATTTATAGACATGTATATTAAAATGCAATAACAAATATAAAGGATTCATAATCTCATGTTATGTAAATGGCAATTCTGTTTATGGCAGCCTTTTGGGAAGTGATCAGTGCACTATGCCCATTGCAGTGTGGATCCCCATTGCACTACGCTCTCTTCCCATATACATGGTTTCTAGGGGTTACTTTATAAAATCTGACCAGATGCCTACTGCATGGCAATATCACCTGTAGACGGTAAGTACAGAAAATGTCTATACTCGTCAGCGCCATCTAGGGGTGCAATACACGGGGCAGAGCTTTTATAGATAAACCCTTCAGTATTTATCTGAAGTTTTTTCAGTGACATGTTCCTTAAGGTGCCCATACACTGTACAATTATGGTGCGATAATTTGCAAAGTGTATGGAAAGCGTGCGACCGTTTCTCCTGTGCGGTCTTCCGTCGAACAAGCAGGCTGGAAAACCCGCCGAGAATCGCACAATTCATAGTGGTGTGCTTGTTCGACAACCGCTGAACGGGCCGGTGTGTGCACGGTGTGCACACGGGCAGTTCAGCATTGCGGTCATCGGAAGCGGCTTGCGATGATCGCAAGTACGATCTGCCTGTCCAAGATGGGCAGATCGTACGTTTTTTTTTTATTACTTTACAACAAAAGTCTTGCGAGGGTTGTACAGTGTATGGTCACCTTTACGTAGGGGGTTCATTCATAAAAGTTCCAGCCACCGTACAGCTGGTCGGATGCCATTCACACGGCACCAGAGCCACTAGATGGTACCAAGGAGAATAGGAACGGCGGAACATTTGTAAATCAGTCACATAGTTTTACCACTGATTTAAGAACCGATTTATAAGATAGCGACATACATACACCTGGAAGATTCACCTGCAGTAAATGTCAAAATAATGACATTAGGCCTCATTCACACAGGCGAGCTCATCCATACGGCGTGCACTAGGGCTACAGCTAATTATTTTCATAATCGAATCTTTTTTCGATTAATCAGTTAAAAAAAAATGAAAGTAGTATTAAGGTCTGGGCGTTTTTTACCTTAATGTATTCTCTGCATAACGAGGAATTACAATTTTTTAAAGAAAAACAGCAATACCCTCCGTCAAAGGTGGGTCTCCTTGTAGGAAACATTTGTTTTTAAAAAGGAGACTTTAATATCACTTTAATAAATACCATCTTTAATTTAAAATAAAATACACAAATGCCGTATTACAAAGTTTACATCAGAATAAAGTTGCATACACAATTTTTTGCAATCGCACTGCTCTGGAACGCAGGGCATTGCGGTACTGTGCGTTCCAGTGCAGGCGATCACACTGTGGGTGGGAGGCGCGTTTGGAGTGCCATTGAAATGAATGGCACCGCAATGCAGCTCCTGCAGCAGGATTTGTCAAACGGAAACCGAAAATGACTTTTCCCAGCTTTCATCATTTAAAAAAAAAATATTTGTAGTGTAAGCACATGGCGCTTGAATAGCTTCAGCCAGGGAATGACAGCTGCCAGTGGCAAGATTCTGCAGACGGCAGCTGAATGTAAACACAGCAGGTAGTGGGCGGGTGCAATAGCCAGCCTGCTATTGGCCATTTCAAACTGCAATAGCAGGCTGGTTATTGCACACGCCCACTGCTTGCTGTACCCTCCCCCCAGCGTGGAGGAGAGAGCTAGGGGGTCCAACCAACTAATCGATAATGAGAATAGTTGATAACCATTCTCATTATTGATTAATCAGTTGCAGCTATGGTGTGCACGCCTGTTCAGAGGACTGCTTCTGGGAGGGACAGGTGCAGTCCGTGTGCAGCCACCTGTACATCCCTATGACAGGACGGGCTGCACGCAGCTACACGCCAACCCAAACCTGAACATCCGTGCAGGTCCGGGTACACTCACTTGATGGATGTGTAAGTTTGGGTCGTAGTGTGACTGCGGCAGCCGTGTCCTGTGGTAGGGATGTATATTCAGCTGCACGCAATTACCGGCTGCACCTGTCCCTCCGGGTGTACA